CTTATAGCGGGTTGGACTCGCGTGTTAGCCGTAATCTTCATCGGGCTTATGTGGCATTTAAACAGTATGCACGCCGGCTCAAAGCGAGACATCCCACCACGCCCTCCGAAACGGCTTTGGAAAGGAAGGGTGGAAGAAAAAAAAAGAAGAAAGAAATTCCATCCAGTAGAATGTAGTTAAATTAGGGAATATCGCGGTGTAGCTCGACAGATGACAGTCCAAGCGGGCCTTGAAGTCCGCCACAGTGGGTGCCAAGACTAAATCGGCCGGCAGAGCATTCCACCGGTCGGCAGATTCGCAGAAGAGAAGTAGTGTCGTCTGCAGTTCAGCCGACTGTGCTGATGTGTGAGCCTCAGTGGGTGACCACGTAGGTGGGAGCCCGATTGGTGCAGTGTGAGTAGGTGGCGACAGGGATGTCCAGGGTTGGATAAGATCATGAATACGAGGATCAGGTCGCCCCGTAGACGTCGGTACTTAAGCGAGTAGAGGCCCAGGCACTGAAGTCGTGGATAATCTAGGTGCTTGAGACCTCGGACCAGTTTGGTTGCTCGACGTTGTGGGGCTTCGAGTATGCGTTGGTCCTTCAACAACCAAGGGCTCCAAGCCTGAATAGCGAACTCCAAGTGGGGTCGGAGAAAAGCGTTAAGGAGGAGGCGGAAATTGCTGGGGTCAATTTGACCGAAGGCTCGTTTCAGCAATCCCACCATGCGGTTAGCAGCAGCAGCTGCTTTCCGGCAGGAAGCGGATACGGAAAGACTCGTCTGGGTAATGATACCCAAGTCTCTTTCGGCTGAAGAGATCTGGAGGATAGACGCTCCCAGGTAATATACAGGAGAAAAAGCGGAAGGGCGGGTAGAAAGGACGCGACATTTCGTAGCGTTAAATGGAAGGTTATTTTCTATGGACCACTGATTTAGACGGTCGAGGTCCATCTGAAGTGCGTGGGCATCGTCCGGAAGGTTAATTGTGCGCCACAGCTTGGCGTCATCCGCGTATAGTAGCAGCGAGGACTCCACTTGCGGTGTGACGTCGTCAATGAAGGCTAGGAAGAGGTGCGGTCCGAGAACAGACCCCTGTGGAACTCCGCTTGTGGCAAGGATGCAGGGAGACAACGCTCCGTCGACGCGTACTTGGAAGGTACGGTTTTGGAGGTAGTTCCGGATCCAGTCCATCAAGTCCCCTGAAACGCCGTAAGATGACAGTTTCCGCAGCAGAATCTTGTGGTCGACCTTGTCGAAGGCTTTGGCGAAATCCAGAAAGATAACATGCGTTTCTTGGCCAGAGTCGGCTGCAGTGGTCCAGCTGTCCCTGGCAAGTAGCAGGTTACTCAGGCAAGACCGCTGAAGCCAGAAACCGTGCTGGCAATCAGAGAGCAGTTTCTGGGTCTCCATGTGATCCGTTAAAGCGTCTGCGACGATCGATTCCATCACTTTGGAGATCGTAGATAGGAGAGTTATCGGTCGGTGATTGGCCGGATCTTTGCGAGTACCGCCTTTGTAGATTGGTGTAATAGTCCCACATTTCCAATCATTGGGAACTTTGCTTTGCAAGAAGAAGTGGGTGAACAGCTCCGCTAGGGGTAAAGCTAGAGCTGCAGCGCACGCTCGCAAGAGCCGTGGGTGGAAACCATCAGCGCCAGGAGAGGCCGTTAGCCGCAGGGACTTGAGTTTCGCCAGGACCTTCTCCGGAGTGAAATGAACAGTCGTCAGGGAAGTTGAGAGTGAAACCGAAGAAGGTACCGTCGTTGTGTGCAGTGATGGAACGGAGACTGTGGATGCGTACTGCTTGCACAGAACGTCCGCTGCCTCGGTAGCTGATTTCGTGAGCCCTGTGGGGGTCGTCAATGCGGTGACACCGTGTTTGACTTGTCGAAGACTATTGACGTGTCTATACAAGGCTTTGGGATTGGATGAAAATTTACGCATAAGTTGACGCTGGTGCTCACTCTTATCTTCTCGTACAAGATGGACGCATTGGTTACGGATGGATCGGTAATATTCCCACTGAGTGGCCGTTGGATGGGAGCGATAGTTTCTCCGTGCCGTGTTCCTGGAGGCAATCCATTTCCGTGTACGACTTCGGATGAGTGCCGGGCGTCTCTTTCCTATGGAAACTTCTTTGCACGTCGTCGTAGTGGAGCAGAGTTCACGTAGAGTAAGGCAAAAGCTTGACCACACGCTGTCGGCGCTCGATTGGGGCTTGGGTGACCAGTTGTTAGCGGAAATGAGAAGGTTCAACTTTCCGTAATCAGTCCAGCGTTTGGTATAAGTTGGCGTGCTGACGAGTTTTTCGGCGAAGCATATAAAATCGAAACGGAGGACGCAGTGGTCGCTAAGCCCCAAAGGGGCATCATACTCAACGTGCTCAACCATCAGTTCTTCGTTAGTGAGGACGAGATCTAGCAGGGACGGTTGGTTGTTGGATCGGAATCTGGTCGGCTGATACGTGTGGTTGTACAACGGGGCCGTGTGAAGAAGATCAATGAGGCCTGATGCAAAGGAGTTAGTAGACGGGACAGAGTGAAATAGACGGGGCAGATTGAAATCACCCATGATAAGAAAGTGTGTGCGCTTGTGGGATAACATAAGGTGGACGTCGTGCAGTAGTCGTGCATCCTTCTCGGGAGAGTTGTTTGGGGGGCGGTAAATGATACCAAGACAGCTGGAGTGTTTGGTGGTTAGTACGACCTCGCACCACATGGTGTCTGGAGACTGGAGGGAGGTGTTTGTTAACATGCTGCAGCTGAGGGAGATGTCATAGTACAGTGCGACACCGCCACCTGGGGTTGCGCGGTCAGAGCGGAGAACTGACATGTGAGGAAGCTGGATTTCACCGTCGGTTATGTCGCCGGAGAGCCACGTTTCCGTTATGGCTATTAGGTCCGCTGGTGTTGATAGAAGTCGGAATTGGAGCTCCGGAAGTTTGGACATGAGGCCCTGTGCGTTCGTGTAGATACAGGTGAGGCCCGTTTGGGTGATGAGCGCGGGAGTAACTAGGGTGCTGCCGGTCAGCAGATGACCGGCAGTGCACCGTTTTTTTTGGTTTAGGGGGGTGGAGCCGCTAAGGTTTGTAGTTGGGGAAACAAGGTGTGGGTCGTCGGAGCCCAGATGGGTGCTGGCGGCTGGGTCGTTGAAAGTCTGAAGGTTGGAATGTGTAGGTGAGTAAAGTTCTTCAGGCAGTGAGGCAGGTGGTTCGGTGGTGGACCGACTGAGGACGAACTGGTCAGAGTGTGTCGGTACCGAGTTTGCTGCTGCTGCTGCCAGGGGTCTGTGGGAAGCTGTGCGCCTCGGCACCGGGTGCCCATCTGGACGCAGACGGATATCTGGTGGTGCTCGTCTTTTATTAGCATACCAGATGGTGAGTGCATCGGTTGCCATGCTAGCGCTGAGGAATGTCACTTTCAGAAGACGGGGGGCTGTTCCTGTATAAGTTGCTGGACGAGGTAGGCGGTGAACGTCCGTTGTGATTACGTTGACAATATTTAGTGTCTGCTGAAGGAACCGCCATTGATTACAGTCATGCTGTTGTCGTTGTTGTAAGGTTGCGTCAACAGCATGCAGTTCTGGGACGCCATGCACAATGATGGAGCATGGTTGAGTGGGTGGCGTCAGTTGCTGTCTGCGCGCAGCGCGCTTAGTCCAAGGGATGTCGGGGAAGATACGAATTTGGTAAATGCCGAGGGACGCATTGTTTCGGAGTAGGTGTGCTGACAACAGGACATCCTCCATAGCCGGGCCTGGCTGCAAGTCAACACGCAGAAGTCTTGGCTTACCGGCGTTCGGAGATGAAGTGTGGCGAGTCAGTCTTGTGAGACTAATGGGTTTCGTTTCAGGGAGGTTTAACGCGGTACAGATTGAGCTCCACATAGTGGAATCATGAGAATGTCGATTCTGAAGTTGCGGGTCGTTGGACTCGGGCACGTTTGTACATATGACAGAATTAGGATCAGGGCTACTGGTTATTCGCCTAGACGAACGCGGATGTGAAGCGGTAGCAAGCTTACTTGGTGGGCGGGCCTCCGTCGGAAGCGTTGGTCGTCGGCAAGTGTTGGGCAGACCAGCAGTTGGTAACGGTGAGACGGTACGTGATTCAGGACGGTTGGGAGGTTGTTGTCGTCGTTTGGTTAGACCGTCGACTTTCCGCAATAGATTCTGTAGCTGTTCTTCCAGATTAAGCAAGCGCACTTCTGAGCGAGCATTGTTGCTAGGCGGCTCAACGAATCGTGGTGACCGGGGCGACTGCGTCTGCGAATGCTTGTTACGCGGTGTGGAGGGCGGGTTAGTGGGAGACGAGATTACAGAACCAACCATAGGGCAAGTCGTTGAGGAAAGGTCGCAAGAAATATCCCGCACGTAGTTCGCAATTCTGGGAATGCAACCTGGGCAAATGTACCGCAGGACCGTCTGTGGATGCGAGCGACAGAATTCGATGTCAGCTGCATGGAGCGAGTTGTCACAAGGAGCGTGAACACGGTGAAGACAGATCGAGCAGGTGATGGCTTTGGAACGAGGTCCTACACGCTGAGTGCAGATAGAGCAGGTGTTCAGTAGCCGCATTGGCGTCGTGGGCGAGACCGAAATGATCGGCATGGTCAAACAGATGACGTACAGATGACACAAATATCTGCAAATAAACGTAGTGGACTACCTGTCTCAAGAGAACAGAATGCGCAGGAGGTCGCTATCCGCGTGTGAGGTCTAGTCTGTCTTTCCGACAGTCAGTCCTCAGTGGGGTCCCTCAGGGTTCGGTGCTTTGCCCGTTCTTATTTTCATTGTATGTCAACGAGCTGCCCGAACTGCTGCAGGTACCATCTCTCATATTTGCAGATGACCTAAAGTTTTGGCACATAGTGTCTGACTTCGATGGACCCCGGACTCTGCAACGGGCCCTCGATAAACTTTGGGACTGGACTGCTCTGTGGCAGTTGCCCATAAATTATGCAACGTGTTCCATCTTACGAATAGGGCCAAATAGCCCCCAAACGCGTTATTTGCTTGGCAGTAATGAACTACACCATGTTACCCAATTGGTAGACCTAGGCGTCACGTTGTCTTCAGAACTTAAATCCAGTGAGAACTGGAGGAAAGCTACGTGCAAGTGTTTCAGAAGGTTGTGGATGATCCGCAGGGCATTCGGGACCATCACGGGCGCTATGTTTGTTAGGTTATTCTCAGCATTTGTCAAGCCACACTTGGAATACTGCATCCAGACTTGTCCACCTTGCTTAGTCTGGGACAGAATGTCAGTGGAGAGAGTGTTGAAAGTTGAAACCGAACTGGTCCATGGACTGCGGAACCATTCTTACCCAGAAAGACTACTTGCGCTGGGAATGTTCTCGATGCACTATCGTCAACATCGAGGCGACCTAGTATGGATCTATCGTATATTTACCGGTAAACTCGGACCCGATTTATCCTGGCTTTTCCAACCGGCTCGGCTTCCGTCGCTCCGAGGTCACTCGCTGAAGCTACACAAACGTCGATAGGATGGAGTCCGGGCGGACGTTCCTGTATCACGCCGGGTGGTGGATTCCTGGAATGCACTGCCCGAGAACGTGGTATTGGCACCAACAGTGAAAGAGTTCGAACACCGACTCGACGCTCTTGGCCTTCAATTCTTAACATTTCCCTTCACGTCCAAGCTTATTCGTCTTATTGAATTATCAAATCTATTACGTTTTTTCTTGACGCTCGTATTGCTTTCGTACTTCTCTTTCTTATTTCATGTGACCGGTGAGGCGGGGACTGCCAGTGCATATCGCGTGGGTATTAATTAGTTGACCGTGGTGTGATTCGCATGCGCTTATTTGACTCTTCTGGATTCCAGTTATCGTGAACGAATAATACCCTGGATCAACGACGCGTCACGGAAGAAACATTCACGGGGATTTATCCTACTGTTCCGGTCCCACTTGAACTTGAACTACGTCAGACAAATTGCGGTGCCATTGGGACCGTAACGATTGGATAATACCAAGAATGATCCTACTTTTGCGTATTGTTGGATCGGGAATTGATAGGTGTGCTTGAGATGTATCAAAGTTTAAAACAGACCGCATCACAGCCTGTTTAGGTCTGGGCAGCCTGGCAGTATCGTCCCACACAGCCATTACTTTTTCTTCAAACATAAACTTCATCCTGCATCGGCCGTCGCGCAGATTATCAAGGGTCGCTTTATCTGCTGCATACAGCAGGGCGAATAAGCGAAAACATGCTACTGCTGGCGCCTTCCTTCTTTTCCACCTGTTTATCTTACTCCCATCCCGACCCCCATTACTAACCTTCCTTCTATAATTCCCAGCTTAATTGACAGCTACCGAAGTGCCACTGTAGTAGAACGATCTGCAGCCACCATCCCACCGCACCTATCGGACGCCTGTCGGCCAAAGTCCCTTATAAAACCACGCTATCCCGTTTCCATGGCGACATAGAACGTCAACAGGCTGCACTCGCACGCACCTTGGACACACTGGGTATTGATGTGTGTTGTGTGTCCGAAACTAGGATCAATGACCTTAACGGGGTTATTGAATTAACTGCACTCGGCTTATCCTCTGGTTATTGGTTGCACTCAGCCGGCGACGTCGATACAGCACTCACGGGTCAATCTGGTGTAGGTATCATTCTAAGCTCCAAGACTGAGCCATCGTCCGTTGATTGAATTCCGGTGAACAGCCGTTTATGTGCAGCCCGTTTGACGACATCAGCTAAGGTGAATTCGCGAAGTAAAACAAAACGCTGTTTGTTTGTGATTTCTGCTTATGCTCCCACGGACTGCAGTTCTAATGCAGTCAAGGACACTTTCTATCACGAACTGAACGCGCTACTACACATTGCTACTAGTTCAGATATTATAGTACTTGCAGGGGATATGAACGCACAAGTAGGGCGTCTGAGCTCTTCAGAAGCTCAGCTGGGTGGTAATTGTGGGCTTAACTCCAAACGGACTGACAACGGTGAGCGTCTGCTGCAACTGTGTGCGGAGCACCAGTTATTCCTTAGTAGCACTGCTTTTAGACACAGTGGACGCCGAAGTGCCACTTGGCGTCCTCCTGTAGCTGGCCAGTGATGGACCCAAATTGACCACATAACCATAAGTTACAGGTGGTATGGTTACATCTTGGATTGCCGCTCATACTGGAGTACCTGTGTCGACTCTGATCATGTCTTGGTACGCTGTCGTTTCTCCATGAACTTTGTCGGGAGGCGCACCAAGTGTCCCCTACGATTGGCAACGGAGAAATTGTCTCAGTCCTCGGTCAGGCAATCCTATCAAAAAGCACTCTATACCGAATTTCTGCTGTCTTGTCCTAATGACACTGAGCTTCATTGGAATAGGATCTCCGCCGCCATGCACGACGCAGGAGCATCTGCTTGTGGCACTATCCATCGTCACCGCATCAGTCACTAGATATCCGAGAGGTCAGTGAACCTGTTGGAATCTAGAAGACACCTCCTGGCCGGCTCTGAACATAATGTGACCAGGCGGGCTATTAGGCGTAAACTAAAGCAGAGCCTACGTGCTGACAAGGAAGCCTGGTGGACCAGTAGGGCTCAAGAAATGGAGGAGGCAGAAGCAGTAGGCAATTGCCGCAAGCTCTTCCAGCTAATCCGCACCACTGGTCCCAGAAAACCAGGCGTTAGTGAGACAATCAGGGACAGCGCGGGTGCGCTGATACACAATAAGGAGCGCCGTATGGCTCGTTGGGCGGAACACTTTCAAGCTCAGTTCAGCTGGCCCCCTGCTCCCGGACCTCTTCCTACTCAGGTGATGCAGGGCGAGCCATATAGGGTTAGTTTAGAGCCTCCGTCGGAGGCCGAGGTCCGAAATGCGATCACAGCCCTTAATCGTTTTCGTGCCGCTGGCCCGGATTCCCTCCCACCTGCATTATTTAAGGATGGAGGTGAGGTCCTCTGCAAAGCACTGACCTCCTTATTCGAATGTATCTGGAAAGAAGAGAGTGTTCCGGCTAATTGGAGCGAATCGATTGTAGTGGCAATATGCAGGTAGGGCAGTCGCACAGACTGTTCCAACCACGGGTATTAGCCTAACGCCAGTCGTAACAAAATTATTGGCCTCGATTCTCGTTCTCGCCTCACTGTGGAACGGGAATCTCGGAGTAGGGATGAGCAGGCCGGTTTTCGCCCAGGACGTGGCTGTATAGACCATATATTCACTTTACGGCAAGTGCTAGAGCAGCGCCACACGTACCCCAAATCGACAATAGCTGTGTTCCTCGATTACAAGAGTGCGTTCGATTCAGTCGCTCGATCGATTCTGTTCGAAATACTTGCGCGGAAAGGTGTTCCCACGAAATATGTGAACATCCTTCGTGCTCTATATTCGAACCCTACAGGTTGCGTCAGGGTCTACGGTGTGCTATCGGCTAGCTTTCCGACCACAAGTGGCGTTGGTCATGGTTGTCCGATTTCCCCATTTTTGTTCAATTTCGTCGTGGATTCAATTATGAAGTGTTCACTTGGGGAATCTCACGATGTAGGCGTTGAATTGCTGCCTGGTGAAAGGTTAGTTGATCTAGATTATGCGGACGATATCGTCTTGCTTTTCGACGATGTTGTGGTGGCACAATCAACCCTGAATAGCCTGTCCAGAGTGGTCCCATTATTTGGTATGCACTTCGCACCTTCAAAGTGCAAAGTTTTGCTGCAGGACCACCAGCCACTTGATGACCCCTTGACGCTTGCTAACGAAGAACTCGAGGTGGTTGGTCATTTCACTTATCTTGGCAGCTGCATCAGCAATGGTGGACGCATAGAAACTGACGTCAGCTCACGCATTACAAAAACCAGAGCTACCTTCTTGAACCTGCGGCATCTTTGGCGACAGAAGGGAGTTTCCTTCCGTCTGAAAGGCCGTGTATACAAGGCCACAGTGAGGTCCGTTCTGCTATATGGTAGTGAGACTTGGTCCCTTCGGTCTGAAGATCTGAGGCGCCTTCAAGTCTTTGATCCTCGTTGTCTGTGAGGCATTGCTGGAGTCGGATGGCACCAGCGTGTCCGCAACGATGATGTGCGTAGACGAGTACTAGATGGTGATAATCATGCTAGCTCCCTAGAACAACAGATAGCACTGAATAAGTTGCGTTGGCTTGGGCACGTACTACGTATGCCTGGTCACCGCTTATCTAAGAGGGCTTTGTTTAGTCTGCCAGGTGTAGGGTGGCGCAAGGCTCGAGGTGGACAGAAGTTGACTTGGCAGCGGGAAATGAAGTCACTGACGACCAGACTGGGTGCCGTTGGTCCGTCTCGCCTTCCGGGCTGGAGTTCACGTGACTCGCCTTGTGCTTGGCTAGAGACTACAGGACATGGCTCGCAGTAGACACCAGTGGCACGTCTGTTGCCATCTCTTAATTGGATTGCCTGTTTAAAGTGGGTTTGGTGCTGAGTTATCTGCGGGGTAATGGCTGATTATGACGCGTGGCAGTGAAAGCCGCAAGGAAGCTGTCTCGCCGATGCCGCCTTATCTTTGCACGATAGCCAGCTGTTTGTGACGGTATGTTGTCTACACAGAGTGTAGGCGCCTTGACCCTGAATGTTTGCTTAGGGCATTAAGGTTTTCTGGTAAGTCCCCCATCTCTCCTCCTTCTTATTCTTTATTTCATAGGTCCTCATGGTTGTATGGCAGCGAAGCATCAGTTCAAATGGCTGGTTTCATGCTGTTGATAATG